TACTTCATTTCAATTCTACAAGCTTAGATTGAGATTTTAATCAACTTTAGTCAAGAATATATATGAATGTTATGTTGAAATGGTTCAACATAAGGAATTTCTATATATGTTGCTTTCTCAAAATTCGATTATGATTACGGCATCCCTCTTCATAGTTCGAATTATGAGAACATGGCAAATAAAAATATTATAGCATGAATCGTATCCCATATGCTTCGGATATAGGATCGATTGCATGTGTTATAATATTCATCCATTCTAAATTTTCCTAATGCTTAGGGCGTTAAGAAGGGAAAAGGGATTAGAACTGGATATGACTAAGATGATTAAGCAATTGTCGAGAACAATTTGGGGTTTTCCAAAGTTTGGTTACTCATGGACAATTGGAAGTATAGAGTAAGGATCTTATTGACATATTTTGGAAAGAGGCAACTCTTGTTCAAAAGTGATGGTCAAGATGGGAATATGGAATTGTTTCCATAGGTGGAAGTTATTCTTTGAATCTATGCAAAGAAGGATGTTCAAAGGAATGTACTTTGAATTTGAGACTTCATCTCCATGGAATTGCTTTCCATTGGAATACTTTGTAATGTTTGTTGCCAAGTCTTTGTGACTTGTGTGAATATCATTACAAGAGGATCATTGCATAGATTACGGTAAATGACAAGAACTTGGTATTCTTACATTTACAATAAGGATTGGGATTGTGAAATGAGAATCATAGAAGTCATGTTCAATTGATATACATTTCACAAAGAGATGACCATATGTAAACATAGTGTGCATACTTGGAGTATGGCATAGCTATTGTTTAGAGAAACATAGTATGCATGCTTGGAGCATGGCATCACTACTGTTTCAATTCAAGTATTAAGTTGATTAATCGAAACATGAATAATGAGTGATCAATATGGTGCTTAGATAAAAGGTGTTTTATTTACGCTCAAAGTGTTGAGGCCATATAGGACTAGTATTATTTTGTGTTTCACTTTGCATGTTTTGACTTCCAGAATAACTAGGTCATTCTCCCGAATGACCAAGTTATTCAAACCATCCACAGTCGGTCATATGTTGGAAGTAGATATGAATCAAGACTGTCGTGAATTTGGCTTGTATGATTTGTCTAAAGTGCTTTAGACAATGCAATAGTTGCTACAACATTCATGAGTACTCATAAGGGCTGAGTATTGGATTCAACCCACGCTCATTTGGATTCACTTCATGGATTTTATCACGAGTGAATCATGAGACGATAATATCTTATATTCTTCAAACCTAGAGATATGAGTTGTTGACTATGAGTTGGTTATACATTGATTGCACGTAAACGCATTGGTAACTCGATGTTATAAAACGTGCCTTTGTGTATGATTCAACAAATAGTTAGTACAAGCATATGAGTCGAAGTTTATCCATTCCTTTTACCTTCGGGATAAAAGCGATATCTGTGGGCCCCTCGATGATTTGATGATGACAAATGGAAGTGCTCGGCCGGGCCAGGACTGATTTGATTTGTTCAATTAGTCAGTCGTCATAAATCAGAAATCGGGAAACAACAAATGGACAGAGAGAATGATTATAATCCATGTCTCAGTCCATATGATATCTAGAATGGAGGAATATATGATCCCTTATCTAATGGACAAGTCATTGACAAAGGTCAGAGTTCATCTACAAGGTCAGAGTTCGACAGAAGCTTTTGAGAGCTACGATTGCTAGTCGGGTTTTGAAGTCATACTTGCAATAATAGTTTTAGACTTATCCAAGTGGGAGACTGTTGGATTAATGTCTAAGTCCATAACTATAATTGGTAAAACTTGACCCGACCCGGCATGGTCCATTTGGGTTGCATGGCATCATGCACTTGGATAGACTAAAATGAGAGAAATAACACTTAAGGTTTATTAATATATTATAAGTTCTAATATATTAATAAGGTTATTTAATTAGTATTGATCAAGAATTAATTTGGAATTAATTAAGTGATCAAAAGGAGACTAATTAAATATATGGGTTGATTGTGTAAATCATTCATTCTTATATATGTGGGCTTGTGATCCAAGATTCCTTATGTTGGACTAAGTCCATGGGGTGACCCATGGATGCTCCATGGAGGTTAAAATCCATGGAGCATAAGGAATGGGAAAAGTCATGAGTTACATAGTGTAACCCTAGTAGCCACCATATAAAAGAACCCATGGCTCAAGAAATCGACACTATGTGTGTGTGAGGGAAAACGATTTCATGAGTGTTCAATTTCTCTCAAGTTATTCCAATTGTACTTGATGTTGTGTGAACCATTTGAGGTGTCACACTTGGGGCACTAGGCACTCAAGCTTCATGAAGACAAGCACCAACAAAAGGTATGTTATTCTAACTTGTGTTATTCAAATTTTTGTATGCTAGAATAGTACAATACCTTGGAAAGTTGATATTTGCATGTATAATAGAGAAAAACATAGATCCAAGGTATTTAGGGTTGCATGTACACTTAGGAGTGTTAGATTGCTCAAAACCCAACAAAGGTTTTCTCATCTGAACTTCAAGAATCTATCCAAGATATCCAATCAAGACCTAGTCCCAAAATTCAGCGTTGTGAAAGACAAGATGTGCTCAGCTTGTGAACAAGGAAAACAAACCAAGTCCTCTTTCAAACCCAAGTCATGTTCCAGTATATCAGTCCCTCTTTATCTACTCCACATGGACCTGTTTGGACCTATTCTTGTTCGTTCACTAGGTGGAAATAAGTATACTCTAGTGGTTGTTGATGAGTACACTCGATTTACTTGGGTAGTTTTTTTGAAGAAGAAAAGTCATGCTGCACAGGAAATTATCTCACTGATTCGTAAAAATGAGACACTGACAGGTCTTAAAGTTAAGCAACTAATAAGTGATCATGGTACTGAGTTCCGAAACTCAACTCTTGAAGAATTTTGTGACAATAAAGGAATTGGACAAAACTTCTCAGCTCCTCGTACTGCTCAGCAAAATGGTGTTGCTGAACGAAGGAATAGAAACACTGATTGAGGCAGGAAGAACCTTGATGATCCTTGGTCTTCCTATGTCGTTTTGGGCTGAAGCTGTCAATACAGCGTGTTTTACTCAGAATCGATCTCTAATTCACAGGATTCACAAGAAGACTCCATATGAAATGCTGAAAGATCGAAAACCAGATGTATCCTTTTTTCATGTGTTCGGATGCATTTGTTATATTCTAAATCAGCGTGACCCAAGATCCAAGTTTGAACCTAAGGCTGATAAAGGTATTTTTGTTGGGTACTCATCTTTTCAAAGGCTTTTCGTGTTTTTCATGTGAATAGGCAATGTGTTGAAGAATCCATTCATGTGAAGTTTGATGAGGAATCATACACTGATGAAAAAATCACTCATTCTCCTTCTATCTTTCAAGAGCTTCTCTCTTGTCCATTCGATGAAGCACCTTCTGCTGAAGATAAGACTGATTCCTCTGATCCTATCATTCCAGTTCCATGTTCCTTGAATCAAGATATTGCAGCCACATCAGCAGATAATTCATTAAGTGCTGATGAAACCCTTGAAGCTGAAGATTCTCCTGAAACTGATAATGTGTCAGTGTCTATCTCTCCGGAATCAGCATCGGTCTTTGAACATCGAGATCATCCTATTGATCGAATTATAGGGAATATTCATGATGGTGTCCGAACCAGATCTAGTGCACTTAATAACTTTTGCATGTATGTTAACTTTGTTTCAATGATCTGACCTGATAAAGTACACACAGCTCTTCAAGATGCTAATTGGATCAAAGCCATGCAAGAAGAACTGAATGAGTTTGAAAGGCACAAAGTTTGGACTCTTGTCCCAAGACCATCCGGGAAAACTATCACTGGAACTCGCTGGGTCTATCGTAACAAGGTTGATAAAGATGGAATCATCACTCGCAATAAGGCAAGGCTTGTAGCTCAAGGGTTTACTCAAATTGAATCCATCGACTACGGGGAAACTTTTGCTCCAGTTGCTTGCATTGAAGCTATCAGACTGTTTCTCGCATACGCATCCTACATGAACTTCATTATCTATCAGATGGATGTGAAAACAGCATTCCTTCATGGTGTGTTAGAAGAAGAAGTATTCCTAAATCAGCCCCCAGGCTTTGTGGACAAAGATCATCCTGATTACGTGTACCGGTTAGACAAAGCTGTTTATGGACTGAAACAAGCTCCCAGGGCTTGGTATGAGACGCTGACATCGTATCTGCTTGAAAATGGATACAGAAGAGGAGCAATCGACAATACTCTCTTCATCAAAAACAAAGGCTCAGACATGGTTCTTGTTCAAATTTATGTCGATGACATCATTTTGGCTCTCCAAATGAGACACTGAGCAAGGAATTTGCAGAGATCATGTCTCAAAGGTTCGAAATGAGCATGATGGGGAAGATTACCTTTTTCTTAGGTCTTGAAGTTCAGCAACAAAAGACAGGTATTTCCATTTGTTAAAGTGAATATATATCTGACCTGCTTGTTAAGTATTCTCTCAGTGACTGCAAACCAGCCTCTACTCCAGTGTCTAAGACTGATAAGATACACGCTGATCCAACTGGAACTGATGTCAATCACTCACTGTATCGAGGAATGATTGGATCCCTCTTATATCTCACAGCAAGTCGTCCTGATATTATGTTTGGAACCATTCTCTATGCTCGATTCCAAGCTAATCCAAAAGAATCTCACCTCATGGTTGTCAAACGTATTTTTCGATACTTGAAGGGAACTCAAAACCTTGCTCTATGGTATCCTCGTGACTCAGCATTTGAACTTTATGGATACACTGACTCAGATTATGCTGGATGCAATTTAGACAAAAAGAGTACATCTGGTGGATGTCACTTCCTTGGCAATCGTCTCATCAGCTGGTCTAGCAAGAAACAAACATCAGTAGCCATCTCAACTGCAGAAGCTGAGTATGTTGCCACTAGGAGATGTTGTGCTCAGCTCTTATGGATTCAAAATCAGCTTCTCGACTATGGGTTCAAGTTCTCAAAGACTCCCATATATTGTGACAACACCAGTGCCATTCAGATCACACAAAATCCTGTTTAGCACTCAAAGACAAAGCATATTGAAATCAGACATCACTTCATCAGAGATAATGTTGAAAAAGGAAAAGTTGTTCTTGAACATGTCAAGACTTCGGAGCAACTTGCTGATATCTTCACAAAGGCACTGGATTCTCAATCAACTGCTTACATTATCGGAGAACTTGGAATGATTTCCTTATAATTAATTTTGACGTTTAAATTGTGCTAATGTTTGATATTGTCTTATAAGCTGATGTACATTGTGCTGATGATAACATACTGATGATATTTGCTACTGAGCATTTTGGTTTGATTTCTTATATTTATCTCTTCTTCAAGTCTTCTAAACAAAAGTTGAATGATTCACTGTATTGAACCATACACTGATAACAACTTGAAACTCTTTGCCGATGGTTAGATCAAAACACCAAGATTTATCACACGCAACTACCCCTTCTCACCAATCTTACACTGATTCTGTGATTCAGTGTGCCAAAACACACACTGATGAGAATCTAAAAATATTTGTCGATGGTTAGATCAAAACACCAAGATCTATCACACACAACAATCCATTCTTTACCCTCCTCTTATTTAGTGTCTAATGATTCAGTAAGATAAACCACTCACTGATGAAGTCACAACACTCTGTGCCGATGGTTAGATAATGTAACTAGTATCTATCACACGCACCAATCTCCTTGCTAGCCCCGATTAAGCAAGTTGTACCTTGAATTGACGGAGATATATTCTCAGCACATAACTTTTGTGACACTGAGCTCAGCGCTTCCGCAAACACTGATTGACGTTTCACCTTCAGTCAACGGCTCTTTTATCCAACGGCTATTTTCTACTCTGACAGGTTGTTATGATGCGCTGTTATTCTTAAGAAAGATAATTATTACCTTTTTAAAAACCCCCTTTTCATTCCATATTTAAACCTCTTTCTTCCTTGGTTTAATTTTTCCTTCCAAAACCTTGAACTTTTCTCAAAAACCCTAGAATTCTCAAATACTCTCCAATGGCGGCATCTCTATTCACATACTCCTCAACCTCTTGAAGAGTCGTTCCTGCCCCAAACTCTCCTCCACTTCCAATTCACATCAAGGTAACCAATGTCGTCTTCAACCCTGACATTCCAGAGGTTCATCGAGGTCTTGGACTCGATGATTTCGTCAATTTCTTAGCTTCTTGCCTCCTTCGATATGCAATCAGTGATGTACCGTCCGAGTTCTTCCCTGAACAAGTATGTGAGTTTTACTATACTGCAATAGTTAATGAAGAAAACAATGCCATCACCGGAACCATTGGTCATGGCAGACACTGTGTCTTCATCACCGCAGAACTACTCAGTGCTGCTTTAAGGTTACCAATTTTCGAACCCTTTTCTGAACCTCCAACTATTGAAAAATGTAAACGAATATTTGATCAACTGGGCTATGATCATTCAAAGGCTGGTACTCGATCAGCTCTTATTTTACGTCAATGCATGACCCCAGGCTGGAAGTTTTTCACTGGTGCTTTATGCAAGTGTGTGGGTCACAAGTCTCGCAGTGGTGATCAATTGAGCAATTATGAGCAACAAGTCGTCTGCTCCCTTCTTCACAACAAAAGACTAGATTATGGGGCACTATTCTTTGATCAGCTTGTTCAGCTTCTACGTGCAAATGTGTGTGCTGATCATGTTCCCTTTCCACGCTGGATTGCCCTGGTGTTCGACAAATTCTTCGCTGCTGACTACTTTTCTCACTCTGGGAATCCAATCCAATGCCCTCGAATGTCCGTTCGTATGTATCAGGATGATCCTTTGGATACTGACATTGGAATCTCCAATAGGATGAGAGAATGGATTGCCAATCCATACATTATGCCTTCTGTCTCTGCTGACACTGATGAAGAAGGTGCTGATGGTAATCATATGGATCGTGTTGATCAAGAGGTGGAACATCATGATGGCGGCCATTTCTCCCCTCAACTTTTTCATCACCTTACCTCGGCCACTGGCAATGCCTCCTCCGCACCACAGGATTCCATGCCTCTGGGGGGCAACCATCACAGGGGGAACATCAGTCTCAGGGGGAGCATCCATCACCAGCAGCTCACCACTTCTCTCCAAGGATGCAACCTAGCTCTCCAGTTGCCCCAGGTACCTAAATGGTTCAAATTCCCGCTTCAGCATTTTCTGAACTGATGTCACTGACTCGGTACATGAGTCAGCATCTGCTTCGTATTGAGGCTGATGTTCAACAAATCAAGGAAGTTCTCTTACTTACTCCTCCCTCTAGTCCAAAATCTAATGATGTTCAAAAAGGGAGAGATACTGATAATGATAATGATGTTGATGCTGATGATCATGCTGATGGTGAACCAAATGCTCATGCTGATGGTTAACCAAATGAGAAAGACACAGAACCTACTGACAACACTATCTTTCAGCATGAATCACCCAACCCCTTCCTGAATCTAATTCTGCCGGGCATAATAGTCCAGCAGCTATTGAAAAATTGTTTGAAGACAGTGAGCATGATGAAGAGCATGATGAACCTGATGATGAATGTCAAATTCTTGACATGAACTTCATTGATCCTCTCATTCCAGTTCAGCAAGAAAGCTTAGATGACCTTGAAGAATCTCATCCGATATTAGCCGATCCTATTGCTGATCCCATCATTCCGGTCCAAGGAGAGGATTCGGACATTGCCAGTGAAGAATCTCATCCGCTGTCTCGAAAGTGGAAGGTAGCAGATACTGACTTGGATCATTCTCAAACTGATACTTGTTCAACCGTGAAGAAACCCAAGTCCATTGTCAGTATTTCAAACCTTGCCATTGAATGGAACATGTCCCCTGATCAAGTCAAGCAAATTCTTGATGAAGCCAATCAAGCTCAGCTTCTAAAGAACATTGCTCAAGCTGATGAATCTCTTATTCAGCACAAACTTCAGGCCAAGGGATCTTTTGAAGCTCAGATGCAGAAGTTCCTGGAATTTCAGTCCAAGGCTCAGTCTTCTCAACCTCCTCCTAGCTCTAGCAAGCCTAAGACTGACAGTGTTCTTGACCGGATTGATCGAAAGAGATTTGAAGATGTTTTTAATCGGCGAATGTGTGGAGATAAGATCATCAAAGTCAAAGCTTCTAAACCTCGAAACGAGAAAATCCTTACGTTGCTGATCACTCGTCAAGGTCCTCAGCACTCATATACTGAAGTTGTCAAGAGGGATGAGCTGATTAGATATGGGTATTCGGAATGGATGGAACTGCTCGATCTTGCATCCAAGCAAACCTCAGCTCACTCTTCAGAACTGACTTGTACTCTTCATCTGCTGATCAAGAAAGTTCAGCGTTTGGATCTTGTCCCTAAAGAACGGCCTCAACATCAAGGCCAAAGGTCGTCAGTTCCTAGATCTCGAAGAACCAAGTTTCATGTTGATGGTGAAGATGTATTGGTCCTAGACTTTGGTGCTGGTGTAATTAACAATTCACTTCCTCTAGGTGTTGATCCGGTTCAGCATCAATTCATCTCAACTCCTGAACACGGGATGTTCTATCTAGACAAAAACAGGAGGATGTGCTTTCAACGAACTACTGATATCCCAAAGGCTCCAACCACTCACCTTGTTGGCTTAAGGCAAATGTGCATGAGTCATCAAGATCTATCTGGAGAATTTCACATTCTTATTGCCATGGCGCTGCTGAACAGAAGACAGGAATTGTTGGACAGTCCTTACTGGCCAGTTAAAATTGAAGCTGAAGCTGAGTATGAAGAATTTCTTTCCAGAGGTGTCTTTATTTAGTTTGTTTTGAACATCATCATATTGGGGGAGATTGTAAGGTCAAACCTTGAAATATGATTATGTTTAAAACAGACTCATCATCAGCACATCTCTCAGCATCAGCACTAGCATGCAACTGCTCAGTTTAGTTTATTCAGTACATTGTAACAAATCATGCATTTATTCTGTTTCCTTAGCTATCTTGATTTATTAGCTAGCGTATCCCTGAATTGTAGGGATTTTCTAGAATGACAGTATATATATTATCTTGTACAGGTTTGTGGATGGGCACGCCTTTCACAAACCCTAATCGTCGCTTTGTGCACACGATAATCTCTTTGTGAGATTATCTTTCTTAGTGAAAGTTCTTCTTTGTGAATTTCTCTTCTTCTTGTTTATTGTCTTTGTTTGATATATTGATTGATCTAAAGGACTCTTCAGTATCCTTCAACCGGTACTCCGAAACTAACCTCCCCTTCGGTATCTTTCAACCGGTAACTAGGAGCTAACCTCCCATTCGGTATATTTCAACCGGTATCCGAGGACTATTTCATCCCCTATCACTATCACATAATTGATGGGTTTTGAGCCAAACATCATTCCTATGGTGAACATGCAAACCCTAATAGCTTTTGGATCTAGTTTGTCAAATGAACATGCAATTGAATATCCAAAGCTATAAACCCTAGATCTAGCATACAAGTAATCATATTAACATAAGATTGGGGTTTAGATCTTACCTAGATTGTTATGTAGCAATAACAATCTCAAATCCTCCTTTGTAATGGCTTTAGATAGCTTAGAGTCACAAGTGTCACTCCTCTAATGGCTCACAAACACCAAGAGCAAGAGGATGAAGAATGAGAAGAGAGGAGACACCCAAAAAATGGCTGGAAACCCTAATCAATTAGTTCACCACGTTTTTGAGTCTCAAGGGTCCTTTAAATAGTGAGGCTATTAGGGTTAGCTAACAAGGAAACCCTAATTTGACTGCTTAGGCCCTAAGCAGCCCATGGACTCCCTCCTTAGAGGCCTAGGACGATTTCTAATGGGCTTCCCTATAGAATTCATCCACCCCTCTAATATGGAGTCCATAGGCCAATATTCAACTATCATACAATTGATAGTTCTAGTCCCTTAAGTTTAATTAATGTCTTTTAACCACAAAATTAATTCTTAATTAATTATTGACTAATATTAATTAAACAATATGATTTCTCCTTAAATATATAATTCTCATAATATATTAATAAATCATAATTAATCCTCTCTCTCTCTCCATAATTCATCCTATCAAGTTGCTTTGGTGAAGGCAACCTAAAAGGACCATGCACCATCAGGTCAAGTACATACCAAAATAGTTATGGACTTAGACACTAATCCAACAGTCTCCCACTTGGATGAGTCTAATAACTATTCTGCGTACGACTTCAAATCCTAATCTGTAATCGTAGCTTTCAAAAGCCGTTGTCAACTGTGATCTTATCAGATATGCATCCTTTAGATAAGGGATCATATATTCCTCCATTCTAGATATCGTATAGACAGAGACATGGATTTAAATCATTCTCTATGTCTATGTGTTGTCTCCTGATTTCCAATTTATGACGACTGACAACAGAATACAATTAAACACATCAAATTAGTCCCGGCTTGGCCAAGCGCTTAGGGTGTCATCACTAAATCATCGAGGGGCCCACAGATATCACTTTTATCCTACTTTGGGTAAAAGGAACGGATAAACATCGACACAATGCTCGCTTGCATTCACTCATCGAATCACACACAACAATAAGTTTTATAACACTAAGTTACTGGTGTATTTGTTGGATTAATGTCTAAGTCCATAACTATAATTGGTAAGACTTGACCCGACCCGGCATGGTCCATTTGGGTTGCATGGCATCATGCACTTGGATAGACTAAAATGAGAGAAATAACACTTAAGGTTTGTTAATATATTATAAGTTCTAATATATTAATAAGGTTATTTAATTACTATTGATCAAGAATTAATTTGGAATTAATTAAGTGATCAAAAGGAGACTAATTAAATATATGGGTTGATTGTGTAAATCACTCATTCTTATATATGTGGGCTTGTGATCCAAGATTCCTTATGTTGGACTAAGTCCATGGGGTGACCCATGGATACTCCATGGAGGTTAAAATCCATGGAGCATAAGGAATGGGTAAAGTCATGAGTTACATGGTGTAACCCTAATAGCCACCATATAAAAGAAACCCATGGCTCAAGAAATCGTGACTATGTGTGTGTATGAGGGCTAGACGATTTCATGAAGTGTTCAAATTTCTCTCTAAGTTATTCCAAGTGCTTATGGTGTTGTGTGAACCATTTGAGGTGTCACACTTGGGGCACTAGGCACTCAAGCTTCATGAAGACAAGCACTATCAAAGAGGTATGTATTCTATCTTGTTATATCCATTATTTTGTATGCTAGTTTAGGATAATACCTTGGATATTCATATTTTCATGTATAATAGAGAAAACATAGATCCAAGGTATTTAGGGTTGCATGTCCACTTAGGAGTGTTAGAATGCTCATAACCCAACAGTGGTATCAGAGCCTAGGCTTGTTTTCTTGTTATACTTGCAAATGGAGCTGAAAAATCGAGTTTTGATGTTGTCAGCCCAGCAGACTCGCCGAGTCCATGAAGGGACTCGACGAGTCCAAGGCAAAATGCATCCAACTCACCGAGTTGTGTTCATGCACTCGACGAGTTGGACCCCAGACAGCATACTTTCGAGGTTTTTGGCTAGAAATGGACTAGGAACATTACCCTAAGTTGTTTTTGAACTTATAAACTTGTTTTTTGATGTGTTAATGTTCATGCTAATCCATTTTCAAAGATAATTGTCAATAGATTCATGTTTTGTATTAGTTTAAAGGTTAGACTAATTACATGAAAAAGTTTGATTTGAATTATCTTGTTCTTATGAGTTGCTTAGATTAATAGAAAAGTTAATTGAAATAGTTATTTTCAATCCATTTTAATCTAAGAGTTGAGTATAAAATGTGTTTGTGTAACTTATCCTCAAGTTACATGAAGAGTCACATTAAAGACTCATAAAAACTCATAAAGTTGGCAAAGGTTACAAAAATGATGAGTCTAGTTCTAATTAATTGGAGTTATGACTCCATAATTTGTCCTCAAGTTATGGAGGACCAAGAGTCTCTTCATTAAATAAAAAAAAATAATGTAACCTTAATTAATTTCATAAGTTATAAAATAAAGAAAAAGTTAATTCTTTATTAGTTTAAAGTCTTCCATAATTTGTCCTCAAGTTATGGAACTTGAAGAGTTTTTGGATTAAAACTACTTTAAACATATAAGTTATGGAATTAATTAGTTTTGAATAGTTTCAAAACTTGCCCTCAAGTTTTGGAATTTGTAAAGTTTTCTCTTATGAATACTTTAATTCCAAGTTAGCCCTTAGAATTTTAAAAGTTAAAATTCAACCCTTATACTTTATAATATTAAAAGTTAATAATATATATGTATAAGAGTAAAGTCAGTCTTACCGCTAGTACGCCTCATTCACGAAGCCGGTCTATAAGGTGGGTATAAGGTTGTTGCCTATAAAATGGCAACTTAATGGGTGTCCACTCTCACCCACCGCTTGCTTGACTGGTGGAGGGTCGTTAGCCAAACGGGTTTGACATGACTATGATTCTCCCTTCATTAAAAGTATTAATGATAAATACTAAGTAACTAAACTCTTATAAATACCCAATCTTAGTTACTTAGGAAAAATGTGAATAAGGTGCTAATCCATGAAATTACACTTTGCACTTTGTTTAAGTCGGTTAGTGGAGCGTGTGTGGTTAACCGGCACACTAACTCGTATTTAACAAGGTAGGCAAAGGGTAACTTAATGTTTATCATAGTATCGATGGAGCGTGTGTGGTTAACCGGCACATCGATTGAGGGATAAACACTTAAGGGTACCCAGTAATTTGCATGGTTACTTCACACCTTGTTTTGTGATCCTCGGCATCCCAGTCACAAAACCTGAAGGGCACACTCGAGATTGAAACATGCCATTGAACAGTTCAGTGAATCTCAAAAGATCTAGGAGTTTCAAATCCAATTAAAACCTAATAATGCATTTCGTTTATCTTGGTGGAAATTGGTGAATCGCCATTCACCTACCTTCAAATTGTTTTATAGCTTGGATTACGGCATACCTCTTCTAAGTTATAAAATAGTTTGTTGGATCCTAGCCTTAATATTTCATATTGGGTGTCATATTAAGGACTTTAGATCAACTATCTTGAATATCTCCCAAAAGATGTCTGGTTTAGACATTTATGATCTTCCCAAATCTCTTGAAACAAGCATTCCTAATGAAGATGATGTCCCATGGATATCATACTTCTTTCTCCTCCTCCAATTATTCTCCCTAACCCACAAGTTCTTGAAAAGTTTAAGATCACTCAAGCCCTAATGGCAAGGCAAGGTCTAGGTGTGATCACATCTTGGAGATGTAGTCACATAATGACAAGCCGGGAGAGTTGGGTGTCAAAGTCTTGAGAAAGTTAGTGGCTCAACTACTTCTAAGTCACATAGTGAGTTCTTTTGGAACACCTATGAAACAGACTATGACAAGACCCTTAATGATCTTATCTATTTGCTAAGATCAACTTCCTGAAACTTTATGGACATTGACAATAGTGACACAGGAAATCCAGAAAAAGCATTCTCTTCCCAATGGAAAGGGATCGGCCATAGTCAACTCGGTTGAACAAATGGTAAAGAGAAAAACTAAGTCTGTAATAGTCCTGTGTACCATTATCAAAGGGTCCATATGTTTATATTGCCAAAGTAAGGTTCATTAGTTGCGAAGCTGCCTAATTTACCTAAGGATGTTAAAGTCAATAAGATTGACTCTACTTCAGGAAATCCAGAAAAAGCAACTTCCTGAAACTTTATGGACATTGACAATAGTGACACAGGAAATCCAGAAAAAGCATTCTCTTCCCAATGGAAAGGGATCGGCCATAGTCAACTCGGTTGAACAAATGGTAAAGAGAAAAACTAAGTCTGTAATAGTCCTGTGTACCATTATCAAAGGGTCCATATGTTTATATTGCCAAAGTAAGGGTCATTAGTTGCGAAGCTGCCTAATTTACCTAAGGATGTTAAAGTCAATAAGATTGATTCTACTTCAGGTAAAAGTCCACTACTCTAACTCTGTTAAGTTTCTATTCTGAGATTCCTTATACATGATGTGACTGGGTCACATGGTGATGTTTTAAGAATCAAAGAAAAGTAAAGGAACTTAAAGAAAGAATATGCTGAATCTGATC